GACAGCTCAGAGCCTGGAGCCTGCTTCAAATTCTGTGCCTCCCTTTCTCTCTCTGCCCCTCCCCCACTCATGCTTTGTCTCTCTTGCAAGAATAAACAAACATTAAAAAAAATAAAAAATAATAATGTCCACGGGTCACTTAGAACATATTTTCCATTTCAAAACAAAACTAGAAGCAGCAGACCTTTCCCAGGCCTCTTACACCCTCTGGTGGCCACCAGAAGAAACCAGCCTTACCTATCATCCAGGCTAGGGACCAGAAGTACCAAGCCTGCTCCTTTGGGACACCACCCTGACCAGGGATTTATAGTATATGGCTAATGATCACTAGACAGAGGGGATCACTACTCTACAGGACACTTTTCCCCAGCTCAAGTGAGCAAAATTCCCGGCAGAGTAGGAAGTACGAAGTCTGGAAGCCAAAAGCTCTGCATTCCAATCCCAGCTCTGCCACTCACTCTCTGCATGATTTCAGGTAAGCTACCTGAACTCACCAAGCCTCAGTTTCCTATCAAACAGGGGATATGTGATCTACCTGATGGAGCTGTCAAGAAGCTCAGAGGAGCTTCAAGACCTGAAAAGGCTTTGTAAATAACCTAAGTCACCAGTCACAGAAGAGTGGACACTGGCCCAGAGACGATGCACAACTGAGGCCCTCAGAGAGTACCAGGTGAGTGGCTGGACAGTAAGGGATGAAGATGGGGGTGACAAAGGAATGCCCAGCAGCCCCACCATTAGGGCCCACACCCCGGGAAGGTGTTACCGGCTTTCCAGAGATGACAAAGGTACCTGGAAGCCCTTAATGGGTTCCCATAGACAGCACAAAGACTCTTATTTGAGCACAACACTCCAACAACCAGGTGCCTGTCCACAACCAAGAGACTGTGGACTAGTACACTCCAGCCAGTTCCCCCAAGTCCATCCCTGTCCTGCAGGGACAGTCATATCCCAACACCATGGTGCCCGCTCTAGCCAGGGGTCACCAGCAGGGAAGCTACAACTATGACTCAAGGCGCAGACTGGACAGAAAGAAAAGTTCTTAAAAAGAAGGGCACACAGCAACCTCCTGCCCTCAAGTGTGTGTGGGGAGGGAGTGGGGGGAGATGAGATCAAGGTGATCAAAGAGGATAAGAGGGGCCCCTACTTATTCATCCAACAAAAGTTTACCAGGCAGCTGCTAAGTCAGACCCTGTCTGTATTAAGGCTGGCAATGAGGACAGAGAAATGAATCAGACTTGGTCTCTACCTTCGATAAATTCACAAATTGCTAGGGGGGTGGGGAAACAGGGAATGACCACACACAGTGTGAGCAGGGCAGTGAAAGAATTGAACACACAGTGCTATGAAACACAGAGGAAGGGACCTGGCCAGTCATTAAGGCTGGCACTTGAATAGAGGTGCCAGCTGACCAAAGGATCAAAACATAAAGACCTCCAGAAATGCTTGTTAACTGGATAAGAAATCACTTCTGGGGACACCTGGCTGGCTCTGTTGGAGAAGAATGTGACTCTTGGGTCTTGGGATTGTGAGTCTGAGCCCCATGTTGCGTGTTGAGATTACTTAAACTAATTTAAAAAAATCACTTCTGCCACAGAACACTAGGGATGCCAAAGGCCCAGCAATGACTCCAGCACAGCTCAAGTCCTGGGTAGGACTATGCAGGTAAGCAGAGCAGGGCCAGGAAGAAAGATGAACTCATATTAGCCAAATGCCTGCCCCTCACCAGGTGCCTGATGCAAAAGTTAAGTTCACTAAATTGTTCTTATCACAGTCCAGCTGCCAGTGAGCATTAAC